TGATGCGACCTCAAATTCAAAGGTGACTGTCATGATCTACCTAAAAATTTGCCCAGTGACCGCCACGATGGAATGCCAAATCATTCCATTTATTCCAATTACTTTCTAACATATTACAGTCAACATTTTTAACATCCACTTCAGTGCGTTTACTATGTGACTTAGCTTTTTTATCTTTACCGCTAATACTGCACCGCTTTTCTTCCTTTACTACATGTTATAAATAACGTGCATGTATGATTCTTTCTTTATTAAAAAAGCTGTATGTACATACTATCGGATACAGAATGATGAAATAAACGAAAACAAATTTTTCTAAATAATTCGATTCTTTACTTATATTTATTTAATAGATAAAAGAAATATATTTTTACAGTCAACCCTTGTTATAACAAACTCTAGGTTTTAAACCTCAACTTCGCTATAGGGCTATAGTGAAGATTTTAAGAGATTTGATTGATTAATTCGTTATAGCAAGGGGAAATTGATTATAGTTGTCTGAAAAATTTACTATATCAAGGATTCACTATATCAAGGTTTGACTGTATTTGCATCATTATCATCATTTATGATGTCAAGCCCATCTACAATGTATTTCAGCATCTTTCGGATATAATTATGTACTATCCCTTAAACTGTTTTGCAACTAAATTTGCCTGCAATTTTATTTTTTAATTAAAGACACTTTTAAATACCTTAAAATGTTTTATTATATAAACCAATATTTTTATAATAAATTCTATAGTATTTTCTAAGTAAAAATCGAAAAAAAAGTTCAATTTAATTAATGATTTTTTAAAAGTAAATGATTGACAAATTATAACAAATAGTAGCTAAATTTTTCAAATTGAAATATCTTTTTATCCATTTAATAACTCTAGAAATATAAAATCACCACCATTGATGTGTCTTAATAAGAAAAATCTGATAGAAATAAAATTGTCCTTCTACAAATATTATGTGACAGGATAACTTATAAAATCTAAAAATTTATAAATCAATATAACTTTTTATTTACCAATTTTAGAGTTATGATTTTATTACCATTAAATGCACTTTAATAAGAGGAATCTAACAAATATAATTTCATCTTTTTATGATCATTAGATCTTAAGATATTTTAAAAATTCAAAAATTTTTAAAATTAATTTTAACCCCTACAGTTTAAGGGATATTACTGTATGGTATATTATGAAATTTAGGACAAATTTTTCCTTATAATGAATTCATTTTTAAGACAATTATAAAATTTAGGATAGTTATCTAATGATAATTTAGACTTAAACTTAAATTTGGATTTAGTATCTAATTCTCACAATTTATGCCTTATTGTAATATAAAACAAGCCAATTACAAAAGAAAAATGTTAGTCTTTGTATAATGCATTATAGAAATATTATTCTATATAGATTATTAAAAGAATATTCTGAATATATCAATTTTAATGTACTTTTATTATATATAATCAAAATATCAAATTTGAAAAAAATCTCGTTAAAATTATTAATAAAAATATCTCAAGTTACTATGGAGATATTATATCTCCAATATATAATAAAGAACTCATAAATTGATTTAAAGTTTTTCAGATTGGTAATTACCAATTTTTTTTGTATTTTACTAACTTTACTAATTTACAGCCAAGTTACTATAGGTTTAATGGGTTATATACTATTATTAATACTTTAATAGATTTATTTGTTAACTTTAATAATCTCATCATAAAGACCAAATATACCTATTAGACTCTATAGATTTTATTTACGAAGTTTTAGTATCAAAAGTAATATTACTCTGATTCAAGAAAATCATAATAATAGTATAATACTTAAAGATGTAAAAGAAATTTTAACTGATAGTACGGTGCAAAACCTTTATAATAGGAACTTAAAAAATTTAAATAAAATTTGATTTTATAATTGAATTTTAATTTTATAAAAAGAATTAAGGAATTGATTTAAAAAATAAAAAAAGTCTCAATTTTTTAAATTATGTAAGCATTACGTGATACATATATTAGCCTATCTTATTAATTATATGATATAAAAATTTATATAATATATTTGTTTATTGTATTTTATTATAAACTGATGAATCAGATATATGATGATGAGATTTATATTTTATTATGTGCATTTTTTGACCAAATTAAAGTAAAATTACTTAGTTTTTGAATTCTTTTGTTTATAAATTTATCATCTGAACTGTCTTTTAAATATCATTATTTAT